GGGAAGCAGGACTGAGCCCCACAACAAGCAGGCTGTCCCCTATTCCCTGAGCCCTGTTTTCTGCTCTTCCTAACAGGGACCCAGCCGTGCGCACGCCCCCCCCCCCCCCCCGCCCCAGAGCTGTGTGTGATCATTTTTCCCTGCACTCTAAACAGGTCTGGGGACTCTGCTTCCTGCCAGAGGTGGGGTCCCAGGTATGGGATGGCAGGCTGCACTGGGCTCCGGGGACCCTGGTGAATGGGATACCCATGGGGGGGGGCACCATTGGCATCCAGCTCCCTTCTGTGATGGGGGTGTGAGGGGCAGGTACTGAATTTAGAGCCAAATGAAAGTTGAACAAAGTCCAACAACCCAAGGATGCTGGTAGGGAGTCCCCTTGAACTCTACCCCAGGGATGGGCAAGTGCTTCTGGGAGGAGGCCCCGGCCAGCTCATCAGGGGAAAGTGGGCTCACACTGTGGGGCCAAGGGCGGTGAGGGCACAGTGACCCCTGCCCTTGGGCTCTGGGTAAGCTCCATCTCCCTGTTTCCCACCCCTTGCTTTTTGTATACTTGGAGTTGCTACAGGTCCATTGTGTCCCTTGGTGGCAAGAGAGGGAGCTCTGGAGGCCAGTGGGGGCCTTACCTTTGCAGAGCGAGGGTTTCGGGGCCCCACAGCTTCCTTGGCGGGGGGGCGGGGGGGCGGCGGCTGAGACCTGCTCCTTCTCTGGCTCTGCCAGCAGCTCTGTGTCCTGCCTCAGCTGCCCTGACTCTAGCACGGTGGGTGCACTTCCCGCTGTGAACCGCGAGCCCCAGCCTGTGGTCCCCAGTCCGCAGTGGGGGCCGGACCCTGGCTCAGCGCCCCTCTGAAGCGGTGTCTCCTGGTACAGTAGTTTCTCTGACTGTGCCATGGTGGGTGCGATGGGCACTCTCCAGCTTTGTGGCTGGGGTAACTCCAGGTCACTGGGGCTTTGCCCGGGGGCAGAGAGATCGCAGGGTGGGGCCAGGAGCCTGAGACCAGGAACACTGTCCCCGGGGGAAGGAGGCATGAGGAGCCCCAGATGGGTTCCAAGAAGCCAGTCACCTTGGAAACCAGTGGGAATGCCCGTGGTCACCAGCAAGGGTCCCCTGCGAACTCACGAGAGCAGGCCAAGGTCCACAGGTGGGCGACCTAGTCCCCCGGGCGCTGGCTCCGGAGGTCGCTGCTGGGCTCGGGAAGAGCTTCACCTGACCCTCCCTAGGACGGGGTCCCCGGGCTGCAGGTACTAGGGCTTTGAGGTCAGAAGAGCCCCCACCCCAGTGGCCCATAACACACTGCAGAGCTCAGCCCCTCAGACTATGTTCTGTGGAGCTCCTTCCCGAAGCTTGAGTGCAAGGGGCACCCGGCCCTTCTCAAAATGACACGATCATCACCAAAATGCCAGAAAAGCCAAACTTCAGGCTTTTAAAACCTGAGATACTGTGCTGTGCACCCCCTGACTCAAACCACTGGGTTCTGGGGGCTTAAGGTTGACAGCGATGGGGCGGGGAGCCGGGCTTGACAGGGCACACCTGCTCCCAGCCCCCCACCCTCCAGCAGCAGGTCACTTCCCCGGACTTGCCTGTCCTCACCCATGAGATGGACGTAATGTTAACGTTCGTCAAACCTCTCCAGCCAGTGATGTTGGGAGAGAAAGCCCCTCTGCTCTCCCTGTGCCCGAGCTGGCCGGGTGCTGCCGAGTGGGCGAGGGGATGCCGGGAGGGGCGAGAATCCTGGCTGGGGATGGGGTGCAGCCGAGCGGGGCCTCAATCCTGCCCCCAACCCCCACCAGTACTCCCCGCTGCTGAAGAAGCTTTACTGCCAAATCGCCAAGACGTGCCCCATCCAGGTCAAGGTGTCCACCCCGCCGCCCCCCGGCACCGTCGTCCGGGCCATGCCCGTCTACAAGAAGGCAGAGCATGTGACGGAGGTGGTGAAGCGCTGCCCCAACCATGAGCTCGGGCGAGACTTCAATGAAGGTGAGGCCTCCAGCCCCGTGCCCAGCGGCTGGGCACCTCGGGCACCCCCAGAGGGAAGGGGGGCTGGCCTCAGGCGTCCGCACTGGGAAACCGCAGGGGGCGATGGCGGGGGACCAGCACGTCCCCTCCCCAGCCCCTCTTCCTCCCAGCCGTACCTGGGGCCTGGGGTGCGGGTGCCCAGGGGACAGTGGGCAGCGGGGATGCTGGGCCAGGCACCCTGAGGGCACCGGGGCTCCCGCCGGCCTGAGCCCCTCCTGCGAGGCTGGTGGGGCTGGCCTTCGTGGTCTCCAGTCTGCTGCAATGTGCCCAGCCCAGGGTGGCCAGACCCCAGCGGGCGGCCCCCTGAGGCGGTGTCCCCTCCCGGCAGGACAGTCTGCTCCGGCCAGCCACCTCATCCGCGTGGAGGGTAACAATCTCTCACAGTACGTGGACGACCCTGTCACAGGCAGGCAGAGCGTCATGGTCCCCTACGAGCCCCCGCAGGTAGGTGGGGGCCCCTGCGCTAGCCACGGGGTGGGACCCCGTCACAGCACTCCTGTCGCTGCAGATGGCCAGCCCACTGTCCCCAGAGTGAAGTCTTGCCTCAGAGCAACTTCCTCACCCTCCCACCCCGGCCCCCCAGGCACCAGGCAAGAGATCGCTTCTGGTCTGGGCTGGGAAGAGAGGTTGGGCGGTGCGTACAGGGCTGGAGGTGAGGGATGAGGCCCGAGGAGGGCGGTGGGCGGGGTGGAGAGCCATGGGTGGGGCTCTGCTGTGACCCGAAGGCAGCGGAAGGTTCTGGAAGGTTCTGGGGCCGACTTGAGGGCCCAGCCAGAGTGAGAAGCTGGGGGTGGAGCCAGGTGGGGTTGCGGGCTGAGCAGTGGTGGTGGGGTGGGGGTGGGCCATGCTTCCATGGGGGAAGGGCCACAGTGAGCCCCCACCTTTCCTCTACCTGGCTCTGACCCCTAGACTCCCAAAGCTGTGATCAGTTCCCCAGACCCCCAGGCCCCAGCCCAGCACCCGGCCCCTCAGACCCCCAGGCCCCTAGGAAGGGGTGTGACCACCCTGCCCTCCCTCCTTCCCTTGCGCTACTTCACCTGTCAGGAAAGCGGGACTCTCCTGCCCCCTGGTGGCATCTGTGTGCCAGCAGTTTGGTGAAAGGCCAGGATTGCCTGGGCCGCTGACTGAGTTGTATATCCTGACCCAGGGGGACCAGGACACCTGCCCATTTTGTGGTCCTGGGCTCATGCCTCAGCTAGCCACAGACTCCCTGGGGAATGGACACGTGCTGGAGATGGGGGTCCACTCAGGTGGCTCTGGCCCCCTCCCTCCGCCAGAGTAGGTGCCAAGCACCTTTCTGTCCAGAAGAGCTACAACATGCAGAACACAGCTTAGTGCCCACAGGGACCTGTGCACGTGCCCATGCCCGTCCGCAGCCAGCCTCCAGGGCTTGACCTCCGATCTGTGTTAGGGGAGGTGGTCAGGGCAGCCAGACCACAGAACTCTGAGCCTCCAAGAGCCAACGCAGAGCGTGGCACTCAGTGTAGTCCATGAGCGGGTGGTGGATGGACAGATGGATGGGTGGATGGGTTGGATAGAGGTGTCAGTGGATGAGTTGATGGAGATGGTTGGATGGATGGACGGATGGATGGACAGACGGATGGACGGACGGACGGATGGACGGACGGACGGATGGATGGATGGATGGAGGTGGGTGAGTACATGCAGGTGAATGCCTGGATGGCTGGTTGGAAGGTAGATGGTTGGAAGTAGATGGATGGGCGCATGGGTGGGTGGATGGATGGATGGATGCCAGAGGACCACAGTGCTGGGGGCTGCCTCTCCCCCATGCCCACCGAGAGCCAGGACCTGGCCCAGAAGCCCCCACCTCTGCAGGCTGGAGCCTTCGTGCTGACAGCACCGTCCCCTCCCCACCTCTCCTGTGTGTAGGTGGGGACAGAATTCACCACCATCCTCTACAATTTCATGTGCAACAGCAGCTGTGTGGGGGGCATGAACCGGAGGCCGATCCTCATCATCATCACCCTGGAGACCCGGGAGTGAGTCCGCTGGGCATGCGGGGTGGGGGAGGGGTGGACTGGACTTAGGGCGGGTTTGCTGGGGGGCTCAGTGTGAAGAGGTGTGAAGACCGGGCAGGGTGAGGAATGGCGCTAGCGCTGGAGGCAAGTTTCCGAAGGGGGGCTCCCCCACCCCCCAGACCGCAAAGCTACTTGAGCAGGGCCTGAGATTTGGGGGACCGCAGGGGACCGGGTGACCCAGAGCGGGGCTGGGTGCTTAGCCTTGGCCCCTCGGCTCCTCAAGACTCCCCCGTGGGGTCCGGGTGTGTGGGCGGGCCCCCAAGGCTCACGGTTCTGGCCGTGCCCGCCCCGCCAGCGGACAGGTGCTGGGCCGCAGGTCCTTCGAGGGCCGCATCTGCGCCTGTCCTGGCCGGGACCGCAAGGCCGACGAGGACCACTACCGCGAGCAGCAGGCCCTGAGCGAGAGTGCGGCCAAGAATGGGGCCGCCAGCAAGCGCGGTGAGTGGCCTGGGCTGGGGCGTGTGGCCTCCCGGGACTTCAGGGCTGAACGTGCCTGGGGAGGCGGGGGGACCAGGGGGCTCCCTGGCTCCAGCTCCATCCAGCGTGGGCCCCACCCTCTTGAGTGGGTTACTGGTCTCTGGCCCCTTCCACGCCGCACGCCGGGTGGCAGGTGTCCTGATGGCTTGAACTGCATGCGGCCTCCCCTGCAGCCTTCAAACAGAGCCCCCCGGCCGTGCCCGCCCTGGGCACCAGCGTGAAGAAGCGGAGGCACGGGGACGAGGATGTGTACTACATGCACGTGAGTGTCCCCTCTGTCTGCGATGCCCAGGCTGGGGGGGACGGTGCGGAGCCCAGCAGGGGCGCGGCGCATCAGGGATCGCGGGATCCTGGGGTCTGGCGGCCCCATCGCTGTAACCCGAGTTTATCCGGCTGTCGCGTGCGGTGCCGGCTCCAGCTGGTGGGTCAAAACACCCACAGGCTTTGCCAAGACTGGTCTTCCGTCATGTGACCTTGTTACTTTTTTTACTTCTCCAGGAATGAGTCCCTCGTTCTTGAAGGCCCGTATCTGTTAGGGGTGCAGAGCCCCAGGGAGGGAGGAACGGTGGGCGCTCTCTGGGTCCCAGACCTGCTCCGGGAAAAGGGGACAGCAGGGGCAGGGGACTCGGGTCTGCGGAAGAAGAGCCGCCTTGCTGCACGTGCACCTGTGCAGACGGCCCTGCGGTCTGTGCTCAGGTGCGGGGCCGGGAGAACTTTGAGATCCTGATGAAGGTCAAGGAGAGCCTGGAGCTGATGGAGCTGGTGCCGCAGCAGCTGGTGGACACATACCGGCAGCAGCAGCAGCAGCTCCTGCAGAGGCCGTGAGTGCAGCTGCCCAGCCCCCAGCACCCCTACCCACCAGCCCAGGCGTCCCCTACCCACCAGCCCCAGGCGTCCCCTACCCACCAGCCCCGGGCACCCCTACTGCCCTAGCTCCGGGTACCCCCCTACTCCCCCAGCCCCGGGCCCCCTACCCCCCAGCCCAGGCCCCCTACCCCACCAGCCCCGGGCCCCCTACCCCCC